GAGCCAAAAATTCCTGGCAAGGGGAAATACGAGACCTGGGATGAGGGATTTATCCTACAGCTCTATGAAAGTGATAAAGATTAGGTCAGAGAAGGCTCTTCCAGGGTAAGGATGTGTGGGGTAAAGCCTTGGCCAGCATGGGGTGTATGTGTCCATCCCAGCCAGCAGTAATTCATTATTTTCTATCATGTTGAAGCCACATCTCTCATCTAAAATGATCTTTTAAGAGCCTTCTGCTTTCCTTATCAGAATGTTCTGCACTTTAAAATTAACGGCTGCTCCCGGCCAGGCTATGGAAGCAGAGATTATTTTCTTCCTGCTGAGTGTTTGGTGGGATGAGTGCCCCTCTTTACAGCCAGCTCTTAGCCAGTTTCAATAGCACTGATCCACATTCATCAGACAGAGGCAAATTTACAGCCTTCTCCCACCAAAAGTCCTAATTTTGTTGAACTTCTCCTAGGACTGCTCTGAGAATTTCCATTCCTACAAAAAATAAAAAAACAAACAAATAAATAAAAATTAAATTCTAGCAGCGGATGATGATGATTTTTTAATTTTCTCTTAATTAAATAAAACATGAAGGTGAAAAGATCTTTCATAAGAAATCAGACACAGAGCTGATGGGCAGTGACCTGCTTTGGATCTGGCAGCCAGATACCCAACCATGTTAAACAAGCAGCTCTGATACCCTGCACTTCCTAATTGTGGAGTGCGTGGGGATTGGTGTGTCATTCCATAACCCCCCAACCTACACTGAGTGATCAAGACCATTGGAGATCCACTGAGGTTTTGGCTGAACTCCCACGTATTTTCTGCTTTTAGTCCAGTTTGGGAGACTATAAAATTAACCCCAGCAGCAAAGAGGATTTAAGTCCAAAGCCACAAATACAAATCCCCTTGGCCAACTCTTCCTGCCATTCCCAAGAGAAGTCAGGTCACTTGGATGTTCTGATCCAAATTTGCTGCTGAAATCTGTTGGTAGCACAGAGACAGGTATCTGTGTAATGAGGTGATTTTGGAGTACATTTTGAGCTCCCCAGACCTCCCCCTTCCTGGTCCATCACTATGGGATCCCCATGCTGCATGAAACCAAAGCTCATGGTCACCAATCAGCTCTAGCCAAACATCAGCCCTTGAGGTCAACAGTTCAATGGTCCCTGGCTTTAACTTCAGCTCATTACCACCAAGTTAGTCATAGTGCTATTGCATAATGAAAGGAAAACAGTTACAGCAGTCAATGGACATTGATAGGATTCTTTGCCACTTGGCAGCCTCTCAGATCTCATTGGAACTCCTTTGCTATGAATTTGATCTTGTAACTGAAATCAAGATCGTATGGCATAACTACAACACATTGATCAACAGCCACTAAGGTTAAGTCTTTCCCAGCCCTAGAATCTCTCTACATGTTTCTAAAATCTTGGTCCATACATCAGTTCACCAGGATGAAATCATCTGGGAATCATTTCCAAAGTCCATTTCCACTTCCAAGTGGGAAAGCCCTCTCTGGCTGCTACAAGATGGGACCAGAAGGATGGGAAAAATGAAGAGAGGTTTTAACAAAGAAGAGATGCAGCCCCAAAACAAGTAGTAGCACTTGCATATGCTTCAGCATTCAACAGTTACTAGTATTTTGCAGGTGCTGTGCAGCATTTCATTACACCACTGTATCTCAATGGCATCGCTACAAGATCTTGACCTTAGCCCCAGCGCAATGGGAAGCGCACTGAGATGGACAAAGGGTTTCCCAGATATCTCATTTCTGCAACAATATCTATCCCATAAACACCAGATCTGGGAAGAAAATAAACAGTTTTCCAGTGGTAGCCAGTGTAAGTCCAGGAGAAAAAAAAAGCAGAAAAATGAGATGGTAGAGATTTAAGCCTTGCTCTTTGCTCTGTGAGGTCTGTTTCTCTACTCATTCAGCTTACATTTTTGCACGCCAGTTGGGTTTGCAAGCATTCTGAAGCAAAACTTTAGCAAAGCCCAGCTGCCAAAAGGTATGCATGTGGCTCTGACAACACATATCTCCTCTCACATCAAGATTTCCTTACATTGCAACATCCCCATTGCCACCTCCCCCCCGGACCTCCTCCAGCACTAGCTTTGAGGAGCAGATAGAGTCACAAAATGGCTGCAAATAACTCCCAGTCAGAAGAAAATACGTATGTTTCTGTTGGTTTCTATGTTTATTTCCCCCCTATGTGAATCCCTAAAGTTCCTTGCTGGCAGCTCTCCGGCACTTAGTACTCACATTTTTGGGGAGGTAATTTTTCCTTGCTCCATATACAGTTCATGAGCAGCTCCATCACTTCTTCCATTGGCCTGTAAGCTCCTTCACACCACAACCCCAAGGCATGGGAACCCTCTCACCACCAACTGCAGATCTTGTATTACACCAAAAAAGACCAAAAACATGACTCCCTCTTTTTGAAGGTAAAGTGTAAATCTCTTTTTTCCAAAAAGCCCTTTAATCGCTATTTTTAGCATGAGAAAAACATTCTACCAAGCCCCAACAATGACACAGGGAAGGGGGGATGGATTGATTGATTGATTGATTGATTGATTAAAAAAAAAAAAAAAAGTTGTTTGGCTTGGCTCATCCTTTCCTAAATAAAGCTCTGCTGTGACCTTTTGCATCTAACTAGGGACTTGGCTCCACCTGCCTCAACATCTCTGCATGATTCCAACACAGCTGGAGCCTCTGCCCCTTCTTCCTTGCAGCTCCCCTGGCTTCAGTCTCACTCTTTGAGCGCAGGTGCTGCTGTGCACTGGGGTTCAGCCCTGTGGGATACATGCTGTGCCTTATATCTCTGTACCATATTCTTCCCAGTGGTGGTCCCTACTGTCTGGGCTACCATCATCTCATAGTTGGGCCACTCTTGTCCCCTTGAGCAGGCCTTGCTCATCCAATGGTTGGGTGCCCGTTGACCGATGGCTGGCTACTCTCATGCTGTGGGCTGTCCTTGGCCCATCATTGCGACATCCCACAGATGAGCTGTCCTTACCCAATGGTTGGGCATCTGTCACCCCATGGCTGCTATCACCCAATAGCTACTCTCATCCATTGGCCTTCCTCATTCCACAACTGGGCCATACTCACCCTATGGTTGTTCTTTCCCTATGACTAGGCAACACTCACTACACTGTTGGGTGTCCATTGCCCCATGTCTGGACTACCCTCACCCCACATTTGAGAATCCATCACCCCATGGTTTGATGTCCATTGGTCCATAGTTGGGTATTTATTGACCCCTGGTTGGGCATCCACTGATCTGTGGCTGTCCTACCCTCATCCCATGGCTGCTCTCATCTCATGACTGTGCCATCCTTACTCTGTAGTTGGGTGCCCATCATCCAACAGCTGTCCTCACCCCATGGCTATGCATTCAACACCGCATGGCTGCCCTCTGTCCCAAACTGGACTACACTCACACCATAGCTGCTTTTGCTCTACGTCTGGACCATCCTCACACCATGGTTGGGTGTTGGGTATCCATCACCTGATATTTGGCCATTCACTGACCTACAGTTTGGCTTTCCTTCACCCCATGGCAGGACCACACTCACCCCAAGTTTGAGTGTCCATTATCCCAGAGCTGGACATCCATCCCCCCTGCCCCACAACCACCCTCATCATCCTCCCTCAGGCAGAGCAGCCAAGGACCTTCACATGGTCCCTGTGCCCACACTCTCCGTTCCCCCCAACTCAGTGAAGAGACCTTACTGCAGAACAGCGGGACAAACATGACCATCCCCACACATAGCAGGAATACCCACCCTGCGGGTGGGAATGCCATGCTCCTCCCCAGCTTTTAATCACAGCACTCAGGCATCACAGCAACAATAAGGAGTGAGAGCAAGGATTGCAGCAACGAGAGGACTTGCGGTGAGCAACAGCTGGTGAATGAGATGCATTTCCCTATCCTTTTGAAACAATCAGCGAGCAGAAGGATCTTGGAGCTCTCTCGGAGCTAGGCAAGCTCCACACAGACTACCGGTGGTGAGTGTGCTCCGCAGAGGGAGTCCTGCTTCCTTAAGGAAACAAATATATATATACATATTGATGCTGGATGGAAAGATGGAAAAACTGAAATATGGAAATTCAGTGATCATATTTGCTTCTTGTTTCCATCTAGATTTTTGGTTTCCAGGGCTGGATGCACAGACCTGAAGCTGCTTTAATTATAGCACAAAGCAGAAAAAATATCTCTCAGTAAACTCTGGGAGTTAACTAATAAGGGGTAAGGAGGCTGTTCAGCCTGGGGAACAAAGGTAAATGTGACAGCGTGGGTAATTCTGCTTTTCCCTGCACTTTCAGCCAAAACAGATCTGCACCCAGTTCTGCTGCTGCCAGGAGCTCTGTGGCTGTTCTGAGGACAGCTTCCACACACTCTAAGAAGGACCAAGTGCTGCAGGTAACAAGCCAAAGTGGTGTGGAAAGAGAGAGAGGGAGGATGGGGATGGGAGTGAATGGGGTGCCGAGTTGGCTCAGTGATGGGAAGGCAGTGCACAGGTTTTCCTCTGGAAAGCACTGTGGAGAAGTAAATATCCAAGGGGATGAAGTAATGGTAGGGGAAAAGTTGGGTGGGCTGGGATGTGTTGAACACTCCTGCCCAGCTGTCCAGCTGTGTGGCTGGAGGCAGAGAGACTGCCTCTCTCTTCTCTGTGGCTGACAGCGAGAAACTGGGAGCAAGAAGAAATACGGGTGCCTTTATTTCCCTGCTGCGTGTCAGCTCTGGTTACTTGCAATCTCACATCCCGAGCTGCTTTCCCTAGCAGACAGCTCACAGCAGCAGGAAGACTGTTCAGTTAACCACTTCCTATCCATGCTCCCTGTTTTTTCCACACCAAAGCTTCGGTATGCAACTACAGAGACCTAAACCTTGTGGAATTAGACACTGGGGACTGGTCTTTCTGCCCAGAAGAACAACCACAGTGAGTCTCTCTCCTCTTCAGGGTCAAGCCTTGTTGGGCCCCTGCCTTGCTGAGCCCTTCCCATGGCACTCTCCAATGACTCCTGGCAGAACACCTCAGCCCCTCTCTTCACAGGTCTCGACCTCTTGCTGGAGCTTAAGCCGCTCTTCATCCCTCTCTACGCCACCTTGGTGGCTGTGGCGTGTTTGGGGAACTTCTTCCTCATTCTCCTCATCGCTCTCACCAAAAAGCTGCACTGCACCACCAATTTCCTCATTGGCAACTTGGCAGCGGCTGACTTTGTCATGTGCCTGGCCTGTGTCCCTCTGACTGTCTCCTATGCCTTCGAGGTGCGGGGTTGGCTTTTTGGGATGTTCATGTGCTACTTTGTCACCCTGATGCAGGCCACCACCATGTTTGTCTCGGTGCTGTCCCTCACCGCCATCGCCATTGACCGCTACATTGTCGTGGCCTACCCCATCCGCCGAAGGATAAGCTGCAAGTCCTGTGTCTGCATCATGGCCTGCATCTGGCTTCTCTCCATCCTGGCCTCGGTTCCTACCTCACTGCACACGCAATACTTGGATCTCAACACCATTGGCCATGACATGATCATCTGCGAGGAGTTTTGGAAGCACAAGGAGAGGGAGCGGCTGCTGTACTCATGTCTGATGCTCCTCTTGTCCTACATGCTCCTGCTGCTGGCAGTATCGGTCTCCTTCTGTGCCATCTCCCACCACCTGCAGAAGAGGAACATCCCAGGAGCTGCCTACCCGTGCCAAGACAAGTGGAGCAAAATGAAGCAGAAGACCTTCCGGGTGCTCACCGTCTCTGTAGTTTGCTTTGCTGTCTGCTGGCTGCCCCTCCAGGTCGTCAACTTCATCAGAGACATTGACGAAGAGTTCACCATCCTGGACAAAAGATATGTGAACGTCATCCAGGTCTCATGCCACCTGATTGCCATGACTCTGCCTGCTACAACCCCTTCATCTACGCCTCTCTCCATGACAAGTTCCGCTTCCACCTCAGCAGTTACTTCTACTGCAAGAAGAAGAGCTCCAGCACTGTGTCTTACAAGGTTTCTCGGTTCAACATCTGCTCCACCTTGGCAGACACCCCAGCTGGAGTCCCGGATAAGACAGCTTTGCAAACCAGATTCTCTTAGCTGAACTTCCCCTACAGGCTTGCTCTTGGGCCTGGATGTAGATGCTTGTGCCTGGCGGGGAGAACAAGCACCACGGAACAAAGTGAAGGGATGTCTGTCCTCAAGTAGCATCTCTTCTGAGCAGCTCAAGGACATTTTATTCTTTGACACAAAGCACACCAGCACAACAACAATGAATACCACAACCATGTGAAAATAGCATGATCTTGAGCAGGATTTACCTGCTAGCCCCCATAGAGACACAATGGGCACTGGTGGATGTTTCCACCTGGTCTGACTCAAGAATCAGTGCCAATGAAACAGCTTTCCCTTGCCTTGTTGAAATAGAACAACGTATATATATCTGGATTCACAACTGGGTATATAATTGGTGTGATGGTAGTGTTCCATAAGCTTCAGTTTTCAGGAATGCCTACACACACTGACACAGTCAAAATCTGCCCAAATACGAGTGCTTCATGAGCAAGGAGAAATGTTCATGCTGTACCACTGGTTGTGCAGCAAAGCTGGGGATGGGGTATATACATACACTAGATCTCCAATCACAGCTTACTATGCCAGGAACTGGAGCTGTATTTGCAGCACAAAGACGTCTCCCTGTGGTGTATATAGGGGTGGACAAGATGTTGGGTGCATTTAAAGAAGTCTTTGGAGTACACATTGTCATTTTGTAGAATAAAGATTGTTCCTAAGCAACAGATAGCATTTTCTGCCTCTGGAGGAACACCAGTTCTTTCAGGCAGCATTTAAAGAGCTGTCCATTTTTTTTTGTTTAAATTGCAGTCCATTGGTGAAAGGACCATACACATTCAGAAGTGTGTATTCTTCTGCCAGCTAGCATGCAGGGCACAACACCACAGCTTGTGTTGAGACACTTCCATCATCTACTTGTCTTTCTGAGTAATCTCATCTGCATAACCTCATAGGATAGTCCCAGTTTCTCCAGCCAGAAGTGTGCAGCCAAACAAGACGAAGTAGACAGGGCTCAAAGTAATGGAGTAGGTAATAAGAAAGGTACCAAGCTGTGTGCTTGCTGAGGAAGAAGTCACAGTCTCCACTCAGAGTGGTTTATATGCAGAGAAGTTATATGCTCTTCTCGGGCGGGGATGGGAATCCTGCTCATGGGCTACTCTGACCCCAAAACTGCTGAATAAATTGTGAGTTGGACTCTCGTGTTCCAGATGTTGGTTGGACCTTAACAGCCCTCAGGCAACAACCTGCTGTTGGCTCACCTTACTGCTGAGACCTTCATGGTACACATGGTACACAACACTGCTTACTCTGTTGGCTTCTTGCAGCTTTCTTCTGGCTACATAAGGCTGTGATTAGGACCAAGGCTGAAGTATTTGTGCTGGAGTATTTTGCTAAGCCCAGGTCACTGCTTGTCCCTTCTGCTAATAAAAGTTTTAAAAAGCTCAGGCTGTGCGTTTGTATTGATTTGAACCAAAAAGATAAGGCCTGCAGTCACTCCCCATACATGCAATTTGATCCCTTCACAGGAAAACAGTCAATCTGGAAGTGTTTATCCATCACTGTCACAGGCAGCTGCTTGGAGTCTAGCTGGAACCAGGGCTGGAGCTCTGAGATTTTCAGGGAAGCTTTGCTATGACACAGCTTGGTGGTTCCTTTCTTTCTTTTATTTACAGGGAAATGACTCCCAGTGTGCTTTCACTCATTCGGACTTCTTACTACAGAATTGCCCATACCCCAGATTCACCTGAAATTTTGCAATGGCCAATAATGGGTCTCAATATCCACTTCACACTTCTCAGATTTAGGGTGCAGTAGCCTGCTGCTCCATAGCCTTCTGCTTGAGGAACTCTGCACAAATGTGAGATTGTGCTCTGAATTCCATTTGCCTGCACGCTGCCAGAGAGCACGTGGTGCTCACAACAGCAGTGCTTGATGTGATTAGTTCTACATTTAATTAACTGGGGAAAAAAAAAAAGGGAGATTGAAGCCACCCAGCACTTGCATTTCCCAACCCTGTTGTGCTGCTGAGCACAGAGGATGCCTCTGATGGGGATGAATCAGGTGGGAAGCAGCAAAGAGCTCATGATCATTTACTTAAATTAATGGTTTTTGGAATAATCACATTCCTTCCCTGGGATTTTGCGCTCTGACTGTGCTGCACTTTCAAGTGTGTGGTGGCAGAAGAGAAGTATGGAGCTGGGAGGACAGACAGATGTATGGGTGGGGGTGGATGGATGGATGGATGGATGGATGGACAGATTGACTGCTGGGCTCATGTTCTCCAGGCAGTGAGCACTGCTTTGCTCTTCTGAACTTTTAGTAATGCTGCAACCATGGTTCCTCCACTCAGCACAGTGAGCACTGCCCGTGAATCAACACCCAAAGCCAAGTGCAACCACACGAGTGTTCAGGATGCTGGATAGTTTTTCTAGTGCTGAAGTGCAGTTTGATCCAGTTGTACTTGGTAGGCAACATCAGACCATACAAATAGAAATGCAAATGGACCTTTTCATCTCAGATTTTCAGACTCTGCAGCAAAGCTCATTGCAAGCAGAGATATTCTCTGTGGCAAGGATCACTTTGTTTTGCCACGTGGCTTGAGAGTTTTCTGCTACTCCAAGGGAAGGAGGACTCAAAGCCTAGGAGGGAAAAAAACACACTAATACATAAAAATGTGAACAAACCAATAGCAATTAAAAAACATCCTACAGAGTTGCTGCAGAAGTGAGCTAAAACAGCCAGGGATTTATTTCTTCCACCTTGTAATAGATGCTGATACTTGAGTACCATAGGGCTTGCATGTGGTTTCGGTTTGAAATAAGTGAAGCATCCCAAACAATAGAGATCTGTCCTCATTAGGAGTGATGGTTTGTGTCAGCTGGATGTTCCCAGGAAGGAAGAAGGGAGAATGGGCTCCACCTGCCTTGGCTTGCAGAGCTTTCCCTCGCTAAATGCTGTGTGGAAATCCCCAAATCCCCCTTTCACTTACAAGCAGAGCTAAACCTTTTGGTGACCTTTCCACCTCATTACCTGCCCTGAGAACTGAGGAGAGGGAGGATTTTCTCCCCAGTGCCCAGCTCAGGTTCTTCACAGCTCTGCTGCCCTATTTTTCAGATGTCAAAATCCAGCTAGCAAAGTCTAGCCATGGGCAATTTTATTTTATTTTCTCTCTTGTCATGATGAGCACATGAAGAAGAGGCCATTTCATCATGCTCGGGATGAGTTTGGAGTCCTACTGGTGTTAAAGGACCTGCATGCCAAAGCCACAGCAAATTCTCCAAGTCAAAGAGGGAAGCCATTCTGAGAGGGATGCCAACTGCTCTTGCTGTTGCATGTGTTCGGAGGCAAGAGGAAGCTTTTCTAGACATTACACAGATTTTTTCCCGTGTGGGATGAAGTAGTCTGGTGAATATTATCGGTGCATGGTGTTGAAAAGTGCTCAGGGCTTTACAAGGAAGGCTCTCCTCCTGCTTATTCTCACAGCAAACAAAAGCCGTAAGTAAAATCTTTTTGACCTTTGGCTAAAGATGCAGGGAAGACAAACCAAAGAATGAGAACACATGCAACGTAAAGTCTTAAATAAGCAAATTCACTCCAGCATCATCTCTTGTTTCCTTATCCTATTGCTATGGAAAGATGTAGGGACTTCTCCCTCTTTAACCCTTAGCCAGCTGGAAGGAGCGACACAGCTGGGACATGCTGTAGCTGCTGCTGACCCAGTGGTTTCAATTATATTTTCCTTGAACACAACAGAAAAGAAACACAATAAAGGAACAAACCAGCAATGACAGCAGATGTAGGTTCTGGTTCAGCAGTGTGCAAAGACTCAAGAGGAAGGGGCTAAGGAAGGAGAAGGATTTCCTACAGAGATGGATTGTGGGAAGTGGTAGGAATGATGGCTTTTGGCCATCTGTGTGTCAGTGGCATAGGTTTGATATCCTCAAGGTCATGCTGAAGATCTGCAGGTTTACAAAATCATGGTCCATAGGATGCTGTGATGTGAAGCTCATCTTTGATCTAGTGGGTAGCCATCCTGACCATGACAGGGGCATGGGACTGGATGACTTTTAAGGTCCTTTCCAACTCAAACATTCTATGGTTTTATGGTCCTCCACGGTATCACCAAAGATCCTTGTCCCCATTGAGTGTGATGTATTCAACCACTGTGAGAAAAAAAAAAAAAAAGAATGGGGCACAAAAATTGCCTGATCATTCTTTTGCACACAGAAATAAGCTCATAGAGGTAGAGATGTCTGTGCTAGTAAATCCAGTATGGAAGCAGCCATATTTTTTTATGGTGTTTGGAGGCTATATGGGGTTTGCTCCTCTATGTGTCATTTACTGTCATCTATAGGGGATGAGGATGTGGTCCAAGATGCAAACTCATTGCTTATCAAAGGCTGCTGAGAAACATGGGACAATTTCTTTCAAGTTTCTTACAGAAAAAAAAAAAAATCCTCTCTTCTCAAGATGAGACAAATGAAATGAAGAGGCCTTTCTCCTGCAGGTCCCTTGGCTTCCTCTTCCTCTTCCTCTTCCTCTTCCTCTTCCTCTTCCTCTTCCTCTTCCTCTTCCTCTTCCTCTTCCTCTTCCTCT